GATTATTTGTCGCAAACCCACAATGTTCATTATTAATTCCTTGTTTTTGCAGGAAGATGTATGCTAACTCTCTCATTCATGGTGATTCACACATGCTTTTTGCAGAGGATAGAATCAGGTAAAGTAGATTTATGGAGGAAACAGTGGCATTTCTTCTGAAATTTTATGTTGCTTTTAATTGTGGAGTACTGAATGAAAGAGGATGAAAGAGGCATTCTGAGTTCATGACGAACCCAGATCGTCTCTGGGTTCCTCATGAACCCAATCATGCCCAAGAAGGGGATGAGGGGAAGGGAGAAGAGAAACAGTGACAACCAAAGGAAAAATGGCTGAAAACAGTGGCGGTGGGAAGGAGAACAAAGAGAGCACAGAGGAGAACGATGGAAAGAAGAATAGATTAAGGGCATTTTAGTAATTTTATATTTAAAGAATTGAAAAAGATTAATAAGGACAATTAAGTTTGACTTGGCATACTCCACGTAAGCTAATTGTATGAGTTGTCATTGTCACGTCATAAAAAAGTGTCATTTTGGAATATTTAACTGCCAAGTGTCACTTAACTGACGGAAGGATTAAAATTGTGCAAGTTTTAGAGTTAAGGGATAAAAAAAGTGCAAAAATTTGTTGAAGGACCAAAAATGTGCAACTCTATAAAGTTGAGGGACCAAAACTAGCATTTAACCAAAGATAAAATTCGATGAACAGTAGGCAGTTTGAAATTAGGTATGAGAGTGTTAGGTTAAAGCTTGAAAACAGCACTGACAGGGTTGATTGAATGTTTTTCAAAGATTTTATCTCAACATGCTCAAGCATACAATTTGATGGTTTCCCCTGCACAAAATTGCCTCTTCTTGACAATCCATGTAATTTTTTATGATGATACTTATAATTTTTCAGTTCTATAATAAGTAGAGATGTGAGACTCTGAGAAACTGCTGCGATTCATGGAACTCAAAAGTCCTTCAGTATAAAGCCTGCCATGCCCATGCCCACCCCCAAAAAAGCATGGCTGAAAAATTTTTTTTTGCTTATAAATAGAGTTGAGTTTGGATTTCTAAACTGAAGGCCATTAAATATATATGCCATCCCAATTCTCTCAAGCCAATTTATTGGGCTAAGCCCAGCAAATTGACATATGGGTGGATCTGCCTTTGAATGAAGGGGGACCCGTTTGCTGGATTAACTTTCCTGTTTTAGCCTGTCATGGTGGTTCCAATCCATCACATGGCTACACAAATAGGTAGGCCTCTACCCTCTAGGCTCTTTAGGCTCAAACTTTTTTTTTTTTTTTTTGAGAAGGACAATAATTGGAGGTTAGTATGTTAAAAGTGTTAATGTGTAAGAAAGGTATTAAACCCGGGACATGGGGTACAAACTACGGGCTACCTCAAAAAACAACAAGTGGCCACTAGGCCATGCATGTGGAATGCCTTCCGGCTCAAATTGAATATGCACTATTAGTTCCTGTGTCAGCGAGAGTAATGATTTTTTAGATTAAATTTTTTAAAAAAAATTAATTGTTAATTATGTAAATTTATATAGGGGTGCATATCATAATTAATAATTATAATAAATCTTTTAAAGTTTTATTTTTTTATATGTAAAAATTAAAAATTAAATTTTAAATCTACAATTAAAGACACATATAATTTTATTATTAAATCATATAATTAATGATCTTTTAAAATTTTATTCCTTGAAATTAATCCTAACTATAATTAGTCAAAGGCCAACGGTGGACTATATATCAACCCAAAAATTTCACTTCAATAACAGTCAAAATCACCTTTCCATCCAAAAAATAAAAAACTATCTAGTCACCTTCTTTGCATTGGTGGCAGTTGCCCTTGTTAGGTGTTTGTTTTGTTCATAAATCAAATATATTTAATTGATAGTGATCCTTGATAATAATAAAAATGAAGACTACTCGAATCTTGTCACAAATATCAACGCCTTCCATCACTCTCTCTCTATTTTAGGTCCACATTTTTTTAAGATAAAAATAATATTAATGCAATTTTTAAGGAGTTTGTGAGCCTTTGGAGTGGAGATTGAAGATGTTATAACAAATCATTCATCTTTTCTTCGTAGCATTGCTTTTTCTTTTTGTAAACTTATTTGAAACTTTCTCTTTTTGGTAATTGTCACTTTGATGAATTACTTTTTTTATTTTATTAATTTTTTTGTTTTAATTTTTAATATAGGTATTTTTATCTTGATTCTTAAGGTAGGTATTTTTTTATTTTATCTTGATTAATATAGGTATTTTTTTTATCTTGATTCTTAAAGTATGTACTTTTTTTTAATCTTGATTCCTAATATAGGTATTACTTTTTTATCTTGATTCATAAGATAGGAATTTTTTTCTATCTTGATTCTTAATATAGGAATTATTTTTTTATCTTGATTCATAAGATAAGAATTTTTTTTTTATCTTGATTCTTAATATAAGAATTTTTTTTTTTATCTTGATTGCTAATGTAGGTTTTTCCTTTTCTTCTTTTTTTTTTTTTGTTGGTTATCTTGATTCCTAAGATTAATGTCGATATATATAAACAGAGGTCTTGTCCTTAAGAACTGCAATTCATTCCTTCTGTATCAGTTTGTTTCTCAGCAGCAACTTACTAAGGAGGCATGGAGGCTATTCAGGTTCAATCAGTTCCATCTGTAAGTATGTTAGTTTTGTTTTTACATCTATCCATGAATGTTCTTGAGTGCATAGACATGCATGGTTTTAAATTAATATGGTTACCAAAATTGATATATGGTCACCAGCTCCTTCTCCTGTTAAATCTTTCGTTGTTTTCATTTTGTGGCAAAAGAAAAATGTTTTATGCACGGTTAAGCATTTTGTATGCAGAGTAATGCAGGAATAGCTGCATGCATGATTGTGCCTGAGGTTCTTAAAGAAAATAATTATGAAAGATGGTGCATTTTCATGAAACACTATTTCGGGGCTCGAGACCTTTTGGATGTGGTTCTATCAGGCGAAATGCCTCTTGACGAAGACCCAAGGGATTGGATTAAAAAGAATGATTTAGCTCTGCATGCAATGAAGATTTCATGTGGAGTAGAAAAGTTTGATAAGATTAAGGAGATGAATTCAGCACAAGATGCGTGGAATGCGTTGGCTGACTTGCATAAACAAAAAAATGAAGACGGGGGCAAAGGAAGCGAAACTGGTATGTATGTATATATATATACACATATATACATATATGGGTTTAATTAATTTCCATCTCTATCTAATTAATTGTCTAAAATATGTACTGGTATTCTTTGCCATTAATTTAATTATTTAAATGTCTGATCAGAATTAATAATCCCAAAATTATGTACCTTGGCATGCAGGCATCGCGATTCTTGAGAGGGAACAAGCCAAAACATTGCTCAAGGACATAAGAAGGGGGGATTCTGATGCCGTAAAGAAAGTATTTGAAACACATCCGTATTCTGCAAGTGCATTAGAAAATGGTTCCACTGCCCTTCATGTTGCAATTACTACTAAAATGTTAGGGTTGGCTAAGGAACTGATTTCGGAGATGTCAGAAGATGAGCTGGAAACACAAGATAAGAGTGGTAGGACAGTTCTTTCCTTGGCTGCTTGTAACAGATTCCATCCAGAGATCCTAAACTGTATTGTAAAATGTTTGGTGGAAAAGAACAAAAAATTGCTTGAAATCCCAGACAGCAACCAGCGGATCCCACTAGTTTTGGCATGTGCCTCACATCACAGATGGATGACAGCTTATCTTTATTCAGTGACACCTATGGAATTTCTAGATCCAGTATATGGCGACCATGGATTCTACCTCCTCAGAGAGTGTATAAGGAACCACATGTTCGGTACGTAAATAGTAAGAACTGGAAAATTCTAGCTAGTGTAAATATACGTTTTTATATATTTTACCTTTCTCAAACAATTAAACCGGGGATTTCGCATCAGATATCGGACTCCATCTGCTGCTCAAATTTCCAGATTTGACATTTCACAGAAGCTCTATTATTATTTCGGTGTTAGTCGAGGAACTATCCTTATTGTTTGGCGGGAAGAAGCTTCGACGACCACACAAAGGTACACTTCTCTTCTCTCTTTACAATTTTCGCTATAACCACTCTAATTCGATGTTTAAAGGTGAGAGTATATATCCGACAAAAACTAATTATAAGTACCAACTTGTGTAATTTGCTGATTAAAAAAAATACTAAAGAAATTAATTCCATTATTATTGCAAATTATATAATGTTTCTTTTTTGATAAAGTGTGAAGTCTTTACTTATCTAATAAAATTATCAAATTTAATTGTATAGTACCGTTTGCTTCTTTTTTTAAACTAAAAAAAAAAATTTCCAATGTGTCACCAAGTTCAAATTGGTGCATCAAATGGAATCTTATAATCATTAAAAGAATATGCTAAGTAAGTGTTTTTTTTTATACCTACTGTCGTTGACTTATTAATTGCCAAACACCTATATATATACTAATTTATTGATTGTAATAGTAATTGTAGGTGTAAACGTACCTATCATTGAGAATCCGCTGGAGGCTGATAAATGGAAGACGTTTTCAACAAAGCCAAGTATGTCTATATATGTTTCATGCTTTTGTTTTATATATGGTAATTAATATTTCATGCCAGAGTTGAGTAGCGTTGTGAAATTAATCAACTCAGCATCGTTTTCATTCGTACACTTATCAGTTTAATATATTTATTAAAAGATTATTATTTTTAAATTTAAATTAAAAATGATAAAATTTAAAGTTTTAAATTTTAATGAGTAATTAATGGTTGTTGATAAACATATTAAATTGAAATGTGTATTAATTATTTTTAATTAATTAATTAATATATAATAAGTATTTTATATTATAAAATTACGGGGGAATCTCAATCCATTACATCCCCAATTACAAAAAAATCTCACTTCAACAGTCCTTTTCGTAGGTTCTCTTTAATTTTGTGGATTTACTGTTCCTAAATGGAATAAAATATATGATATATGGTTACTTTTCATTCAACGAAAACATGCATGATTAGTTTGATTCTCTATTACTTAATAAATTTCGTTGTACATAATTTTTGCTGTTAAGAAGATCGACGGCAATTAGATGATTGTGCCTGTGGAATGGTACATTTCATATGTGAGAAAGTGTCAACTTTAAATAGAGAGCAACTTATGAGAAATGGAGTGGTGGAAGCTACCTTCAAAGCTATCAAGCTTGGCTACCTTGACTTTGTAATTCAAATTACAGAAGCCAATCCCGATATAGTCTGGAGCCTTGATCCTGAGCATTCAAGAGACATGTTAATGTATGCAGTAGCATATCGTCAAAAGGAAATTGCTGCTTTTCTTTATCATGAACTCGATGTGTGGAGGGATTCGGCAGCTTTTACCATCGATGAGGATCACAATAATATTTTACATCTGGCAGCAAAGTTAGTTCCCAGTTGTCCCGGTATTTTAATTCCTGATCCAGTTCTTCGGTTGCAAAAGGAAGCAATGTGGTTTAAGGTATGTAATATCCTTAAATTATTTTTTTCAAAAAAAAAAAATTCTTATTATTTGTGTGTGTGTTTAATTGTTTAATGAAAATATGATATACATAAAGGTAGCATCGATTCACTTACATGTACAAGTGTGAATGGATATATAGAATTAGCATTAATGCTAACTCGATCTCTTAATAGTTTATTTCTGAAATTTATGGTAAATTAAAATAATGGTTTATATTTAGATTTAGTAATACATATCAAACAGTCAACAATTAATAATTTATATAGGAATTTTATTTATTTATTTAATTTTGTTATATGATGGAATATATATATTTTTTTATGTTGGTTGCTCAATGTGATGTAATCTTCTCTCATCTCTTATCCCACTCACTCACATGTCATATGACTCGAATTTAGAATTTTTTATTTTTAATAAAAAAAAATTACCACTGAATTATTAAAGTCATAAGTTATATGATGAAATATATTAATTATGCCATATATGTAAATATGTATGATTTAAACTAGACTTGGTTCCATAATTGAGGTACGTGTCAAATGATTATCAGTTTCTCACTTAATAAATTAATTAATTATTTTAAATTCAGGAGGTTGAAGGCCTTGTTCCACAATTGGTTAAGGACGAGAGAAATAAAGATGACGAAACTCCTTTAGAAGTGTTTAGAAGGGAACACCAGGGTTTGCTTAAAGAAGCTCAAACATGGGTGAAAGATACAGTAAATTTTGCCGCAATTATAGGTACTCTCATCGTTGGTGTTATGTTTGCAGCAAATATTACTGTTCCTGGTGGTAATAATGATCGGGATGGCCTTCCCATCTTCTATAAAAGATCAGCTTTTCAGCTATTCTTTGGAACGGATGGAGCTTCTCTTATCTTTGCATCTCTTTCAGTCTTGATCCTTTTGGATATCCACAAATCGAGTCTTACGGTGGAAGATTTTCTAAATGGAAACTTGAACACCAAGCTGGCTACGGGGTTTTATTTGCTCTTCTGGTCCATTGGAACCATGCTAATTTGCTCTTTTGCTTCTATTAGGCTTGTGGATCGCCAAAGTCCTTTGGCGATGCAGATTATATTTGCTGCTATCATTATCCTTCCATTTATCAGCCTTTTTAGATCAAACCTTAAACCTTTTTTTAAGATTTTTTATTTCTTTTATATCCGAGGACTGACAGCAAGCCGAAGACTGAGAGAAATCCGAGGACTGATAACACCACGTGCTGTTGTTTTCAAATATCTCCTTTGAACAAGTCCACAATCCTGCTTCAATATATATGGCTTCTTTCAGCGTAATAATATTATTAATGTTAAAGTTTGTTTTGACATTGTATTTTAAGTTAGATGGTGTATCAGTAATTCAGTTTAACTATTAATAATTGTTATGTTAGGGGAGTGGAAACATTTAACTCATATTCACCTTCATTTTGATGTGTTTAAAACATGCATAATGCAAATGTAAATTTGTTTTCAACATACTTTTCAAGCGTATTCAATTTTCATTAACAATTAATTAATAACATAAATTCTTAAGTTATCCTTCCCATGATTGTGGCTTTTGTCCGGCCATGTCCGGCTGTTTCTCCATTTTTGCAGCCAAGTCTCTTTCTATCACTTTTTCCTCTTGCTCTCCCCTTGTCCTTTTTCCCACTTTCTTTTTCCACATTTTCAGCCATTCTCTATCTCTAGAGTTATCCTACCCATGAATGAGGATATTTAGCCTTTGTTAGAATTAGGAAGATTAGGAAGTAAAAACCACAGTTTTATGGGTTTCAGATAGTCTTAGACGTTTCAGCTGTGGCATCCACCAAGGTGGTGTTTAAATGTTTAATGATAGATTTCAAGGGTAGATTTTTTTTTTTTACCATTAAATAATGAGTTATGTAGTATTTACTCTCCCAAATTTCTTCTCACTTATCTTAAATTAAAATTTAAAATTTTTTACATAAAATTTAAAAAAATATTTCTATAAGCACAGCTTTCAAGAGTAAATAGAAAAGTGTTCAAAGTAACTTTAGAACATATAAACAAAGGGGCATCTTGTTAAATAAATAGCTCTTCCAAATATTATTGCTGTAATATATTCACCAGCTTTTATCAGTTTATGTATGATTGTAAACCTTTATCTATGAAGGAAGGTTTTTTCTCACGCATAAATAAAATTTTACTGTAGTTTTTAAAAAATTGTTAGGCTTAAACATTTAACAATGATTTTTTTTTTTTATAATGGGCTTAATTTTTTTAATTAGAAGTGAGATTATATATTCCATGTTTCACTTACAAACAGCATAAAAAGAAATCAACTGAACTTATTTTGAATCCTGTAGGGTTTTAGCTCTAGGAAACAATTAATAACTATTCTCTTAGTAATTTTAATTAATATTTTTTTTTCTTTTGAATAAGTAAAATTTGGGGTAGAGGATGGAATATTGTAAGATGGTAGTGCCATTATTCAAACCTTGATCATTGTCAGAGTATTAGATGCATTTACTCAATGACTCATAAGACCTGATGCATATCTTTTTTCTTTTTTCTTTTTTAATAATAAAGACAAAAAATTACCATTGTGATGCAGCACAACACAGAACCGCACAACAATCCCTAAGGAAGCCATCATCTTTTAACATTTTGCTAGCCATTAGACACTAGTCATCCTTTTTATTTTTAAAAATAAAAATAAAAAGCAGAAAAATAAATTACACAATACATTAGCTGCACAGACCCACTATGACCATAAGAAAGGAAGATGAGCTGTCATGTCCGTTGGGGAATATTTTAGTGATTAAGATTAAGAGTTGGAGATTTTATATTAAAGATGTCAAATTTAAATTTTGAGATAAATAACGAGAAGTTTGGATAAAAAAATTTATTTCTTATCATTTAATTTACCATGCTACCATGTGATGTATTAAAAAAAAAATAAGCGCAATCACGAAAAAAAAAAAAAACCTAACTAACTAACTAAAAGCAAAGGACGATTAAGTGAAGAGTACATTAGCCCAGACCAGTAAGCCCATATTAGCGCGAGAGTTGCAAATTTGCAATAAGTACACAGGCCCGCTATCACGATGACCTAAAAAGGGATAAAATAAATCAGGGTTAACTGGTATGGGCCGCAATCACATGCAAATGCAAACAAAGAAAACTATGGGCAAAGGGCCCATTTAGTGAAGACTGACATAAAGGTACTGAGCCCAGACCAGTAAGCCCATATTAGCGCACGGGTTTTACTTTTATCACCTTCCCTCTCTGATTTCCTCTTGTTTTCTTTACCGCCCAACGGAAGATAATCCGCTGTTGAAGTTGAATAATTGTTAACGAGATGGGGATGAAGGCGAAAAAAGGATTAAAGAAAAAACTGGAGAAGGCTTCTGCTCAGTTTGCACTTTCTGATAGTAAAAATTCAGATCCTGAATTCTTTGGTATGCATGGTTGTCTAGCATACTTGCTGAATGATGAAATGAAACTAGTCTTAAATTTTGCTGTTTATCTGACTTGTGTATTTGTTTAAAAAATTTCTGCATATGCTTGTTGCAGCCGTTGGAAGATAAGCTTTCCCAAGGAGAGGGAAGTACGACTAAAGCAACGGTGTTGTACATTGGAAGGATTTAATTATAGATCCAAACTAGTAAACTAGGCACAACATGAACGGAGGCGTCAGGCGAACGACAGCAAATCCGTTGAAATATTGATGCCATGATGGTTAGCTGCTTCTTGAAAATTTTCATTTTAATTCATCATAATTTTGTCATGGTTTTTCCCGAAAGAAAATTGGAAGAGCATAGGAAGCTGGTAGAGAGGGTCATAAAATGAGATAAGAAGCGTCAAAAAGGGTTATTCTTTATGAATGCCCAGAATTGTAAGCATTGCAAACAATACTATACCACACTCAAATTTGGAAATCAGTAGTTGTAGCATCTTAGATGCATGCTTATGAGTCTGATGTTTTGCAGGTGGGTAGCATCCAGCCTGCTCCAAAGAAGATAAAATTTGATGAAGAGTAGGCATTCTGAAATTAGGTATGTGTTTTAGGTTAAAGCTTGAAAACTGCACTAACAGGTTTGATTGAATGTTTTTCAAAGATGTTATCTCAACATGCTCAAGCCTACAATTGATGGTTTCACCTACAAAATATTGTCTCTTCTTGACAATCCATATGATTTTTTATGATGACATTTATAATTTTTCAATTCTATAATAAGTAGAGATGTGGGACTCTGAGAAATTGCTGTGATTCATGGAACTCAAAAGTCCTTCTGTACAAAGCCTGCCATGCCCATGCCCACCCCACCCCCATAAACGGATGGCTGAAAAAAATGCGAAGCCCAGCAAATTGACATACGGGTGGATCTGCCTTTGAAAGTTTGAATGAAAAAGGACCCGTTTGGTGGATTGCCTTTTCCCCTTTAGCCTGTCATAGTGGTTCCAATCCATCACATGGCTACACAAATAGGTAGGCTTCTAGGCTCTTCAGGCTCAAACTGAATATGCACCATTCGACCCTGTGTCAGCGAGAGTAATGATTTTTGAGATTAAAATTTAGAGAGAAATTAATTTTAAGGGTTCTTTTATGTGTTTTAGGATAGAAAATAAGGATATAATAAATATTTTTTATAATTAATTTTTATTAAAAATATAAATTTTAATTTTAATTTAATCAATTAAAATTATTTATATATTAATAGTGTTAAAATATATATTAATTTTTATATTTTTTTATGTAAATTAATTATAAAAAATATATTTATTGTACTCTTAAATATAAGTTAGATGATCTTTTTTTAAAAAAATTTTATTTTTTATATGTAAAAAATAAAGATTAAATATACTTAATTAGAAGTGATCCTTGATAATAATAAAAAGGTTAAATGCTAAATTTGGTCCCTCAACTTTACGAAATGCACATTTTTGATCTCTCAACAAAATTTTGCATTTTTTTGATCCCTCAACTATACGAAATACATTCCGTTAGTCCTTTTGTTAATTTGGGCCGTTAACTCGCTCATGTGGCATTTTTTATAGTTTTTTTGATGACGTGGCAAAAACAAATTAAAAACGTGTTAACGTGAAATTTTTTTCATTACAGCTCATGCCAACTCACATTATTACTATTTATATTTTTAAAAAATAAAATAAAATAAATTATATCCATCTTTTTCCTTCCTTTTTTTCTTTTTCTTTCTTCCTCTTCTTTCTTCTTCTTCTTCCTCAGGTCATCGAACCCAGCAAATTGATTCCATCAAACCCTAATTGATATAACTGTGTTTTAATTAAACAAGTCTTGCGGAGTTAAAAAAAAAAAAAAAAAAAGAAGAATAGTTGAATTTTGTTGGGTACCATCACAAATGTCAACGCCTTCCATCACTCTCTCTCTATTTTAGGTCCACATTTTTTACTTTTTTAAGATAAAAATAATATCAATGCAACTTTTAAGGAGTTTGTGAGTTTTTGGAGTGAAAAGTGAAGATGTTATAACAAATCATTCATATTTTTTCTGTGGCACTGCTTCTCCTTTTTATGAACTTATTTGAAGTTTTCTCTTTATTTTAATTGTGACTTTGATGCCTTACTCTTTTTATTTTCTTAATTTTTTTATTTTGGTTCTTAATATAAGTATTGTTTTTTTATCTGGATTCGGAAGGTAATTATTATTTTTTTTTTTAATCTTGATTCTTAATATAGGTATTGTTTTTTATCTTGATTCATAAGGTAAGAATTTTTCTGTTCTTAATTCTTAATATATGTAATTTTTTTTTATCTTGATTACTAAGGTAGGTTTATTATTATTATTATTATTATTATTTTAATCTTGATTCCTAAGATTAATGTAAATATATATAAGCATAGGTCTTGCCCTTAAGAACAACAATTCATTCCTTCTTTATCAATTTGTTTATCTACAGCAACTTACTAAGGAGGCATGGAAGCTAATCAGGTTCCACTAGTTCCATCTGTAAGTAAGTTTTGTTTTTACATACCTCTATCCATGAATGTTCTTAAGTGCATAGACATGCATGGTTTTAAATTAGTATGGTTATTGCCAAAAATGATATATGATCACCAGCTGCTTCTGTTAAATCTTTCGTTATTTTCTTTTTGTGGCAAAAGCAAAATGTTTTATGCATGGTTAAGCATTTTGTATACAGAGTAACGCAGGAATAGCTGCATGCATGATTGTGCCTGAGGTTCTTAAAGAAGATAATTATGAAAGATGGTGTATTTTTATGCAACACTATTTAGTGGCTCAAAACCTTTGGGATGTGGTTATATCAAGAAAGATGCCTCATGCTCATGGAGAAGACCCAAAGGAGTGGATTAAAAGGAATGCTTTAGCTCTGCATACAATTAAGATTTCATGTGGAGCAGAAAAGTTTGATCGGATTAAGAAGAAGAATTCAGCCAAAGATGCATGGAATGCATTGGCTAATTTGCATAAACAGCCAAATGAAGGCGGGAACAAAGATACAGGTTTATTTTCCATTTCTATATTTATATCTGTCTAAAAAACAGAGTACTGTTTCCTGTTTCATAATTTTAATATTGCCTCAGAAAATAATCTTACAATCCTTGGCAGGAATCAGGATTGAAAGGAAACAAGCTGTGACATTGCTCAAGGACATAAAAAAGGGGGACTCTGATGCTGTAAAGAAACTCTTTGAAACACATCCTCCGTATTCTGCAGCATTAGAAAACGGTTCCACTGCCCTTCATGTTGCAATTACTACTGGCAAGATAAACCTGGCTAAGAAACTGATTTCGGTGATGTCAGAAGAAGAGTTGGAAACACAAGATAAGAGTGGTGAGACAGTTCTTTCCTTGGCTGCTCGTAAGGGAAGTAGAGAGATCGTAGAATGTTTGGTTGGAAAGAACAAAAAATTGCTTGAAATCCCAGATTGCGAGAAGAATATCCCACTTGTACTGGCATGTGCCACACGCCATCAGTCTTTGACTCGTTATCTTTATTCAGTGACACCTGAAGAATTTCTAGATCCAGGAAATGGCGACGACCATGGATTCTTCTTCCTCAAAGAGTGTATAAGGAATCATATGTTCGGTAAGAGCTGTAAATATTAATTTTTTTCTTTATCTCTTTGCTATATATGCATGCTTGCTTTTATTTTACCTTTATCAAACAAACTGGTATGGTATTTTTGATTCGAATCAGATATTGGACTCGATCTGCTCCACAAATTTCCAGATTTGACATATCACAAAAGCTCTTTGGGACCAACCCCGGTTATTTCAGTGTTGGTCGAAGTACTATCATCATTGTTTGGTGGAAACAGACTTCTTTTACTTTGTGAGTATGCTTCTCTTCTCTCTTAATTTACAATATTGTCATTTTTTTTCATCAGTTTCAATATTTTCAATTGAATTTCTCTGTTGATATATTTTTATTTTTACTGTATTATTTTGCTGTAAAAGTTTGATAACCACTAACTTTCAAAAGTCTAGTAATTCCATGGTCAAAGGTCTAAAAGTTCAAATTCAATATATATATAGCACCTGCAGCGGTGGCTGCAATGATAGGGTGCATCTAAAGACCTTGGATACCACCATGGTTGAAATCCTTGTGACGTAGTCCCTCTTCCCCTGGTTTCCCAATGTTCAATAAATAAATAAATATATATATATATATATATGTTGCATCAGATATGATCTATCTTAAATTCGGGTTTCTTAATCAATTTGATTCTGTTACAGATAAATTTCCTTGTATACAATTTTTGCTCTTAACTAGGTCGATCGCTAGCATATGATCATCTAAAGTATGCCCGTGAGATGGTACTCTTCATATGTGAGCAACTGTCAACTTTAGAAAGAGACCAATTTATGAGAAGTGGAGCAGTGGAAGCCACCTTCAAGGCTATCAAGCTTGGCGACCTTGACTTTGTAAAACAAATTACAGAAGCTAATCCTGATATAGTTTGGAACCTTGGTCCCGAACGCTCAAGAGATATGTTAATGTATGCTGTAGCACATCGTCAAAAAGAAATTGCCAAGTTTCTTTATGGGCTCAATGTGTGGAGGAACATGTCAGATGACGACCAAAACAACATTTTACATCTGGCTGCAAAGTCAGCTCCCAGCTTTCCCCATATTCATCATTTCTCTGATCCTTTTCTTCAAATGAAAAGCGAAGCAACCTGGTTTAAGGTAATCCTTTTATAAAAAACTTCTATGATCTCAATATATATATCAGCTGGTGCAACCCATTAAAAATTAAAAGAAAAATTATTTTAAAATTACATAAGGGTAAAAAATATATAGTTTAATTTATATTTTAAAAATAAGTTGTTTTAATCTTTTTGTATAAGGGATTTTTTTGGATAATGTTCTTCCTAATTTAATTTAATTTAATTTAATTTTTAAAAATACACTAATAAACATTTATCTCTATATGGTTTATATAAGGATTCAAATATGGTTAGTCCTTTTCAATGATCCATTTCTCGCTTAACAAATTAATTATTTTAGGAGATTGAACGCACTGTTCTAAGTTTTTATAGAAAACAAAGAAATAAAGATGGTGAAACTCCTTCAGAAGTTTTTAGTAGGGAACATCAAGGTTTACTTAAAGAAGCTCATCAAACATGGGTGAAAAATACAGTAAATTTTGCCGCAATTATAAGCACTCTAATCATTGTCGCCATGTTTGCTGCAACTATTACTGTTCCTGGTGGTAACAGCGATCGGGATGGCCTCCCCGTCTTCTCTAAAAGATCATCTTTTAAGCCACTCTTAGACTGGGATCCAATTTCTGTCCTTTTTGCGTCTCTTTCAGTGCTGTTGTTTTTGGATATCCACAAATCGAGTCTTACCGAGGAAGATTTCCTATCTGGATTCTTGACTATCAAGTTGGTCTTGTGCTTTTATTTCCTCTTCTGGTCCATTGGAGCTATGCTAATTTGCTATTTTGCTTCTGTTAAACTTGTGGATAGCACAATTATTTCGCTGGTCCCTTTAAATGCTGTTGTCTTTGTTTGTTTATATATCTACATTTTTCTAAAACACCATCTACCTCTTATTAAGATTTTAACTTTCCGAATTTTTTGATGGCAGAAAGCACAGTTTCCACCTGTTTTCAGATTTCATCTTTCAACAAGTTCGCCAATCCTACTTCAATGTATCTGCAGTTAAACATCGTCACTTTTTCCAGTGTACTAAAACCTCAATTTCGCGTGTTGCGTGGTCTCCTGTGCTTTTTTTTTTTTTTTCTTCCCTTTAGATTTAGATGTGCTCTCTGTCTATTGTTATATCATTAATGTTAAAGCTTGCTTTGACATTATATTTTAATTTAAACTCACAGACAATGTCAGTTATTCAATATAACTATTAATTGTTATGTTAGTGGGGCTGAAACATTTTCACCTTAATTTGACGTGTGAAAAACATACATCATGAAAATGTGAATTTGTTCTTAATATACTTTTTAAATGTATTCTGATTTTTATTAATTAAAAAATAATAATATAAAAATATAATAGTAATATGTATTAACTGAAATTTAAAATAATTCAGAGGAAAAACATTTAAAAATTAATTTGTTTCATTAAAATATCAAGAAAAAAGATTAAAATAAATTCATTCTTGATTTAAAATTAAGTTAATTTAGTTCTTTTCGATGAGAGTTTATTTAACAATATAATTTTAGTGTGTTTTTTTTTTTTAATTCTTAAATATCTAGCTGATAAATATTTTCCTCTAAATATATTTTAGAATGATGTTTTGAATTTTTTGATTTCTAATTGTGATTTCATCATCTTGTATTTGAGTTGAACAATAATTAATATATATTTTTGGTTTAACATATTTTATAACATATTTATTAAAACTTCATTATTTTTAGATTTAAATTCAAGATGAAAAAACTTTTAACAAAAGATCTTGATAACTAAATTGAAAAGTGTTCGTAATTGTATTGAATTGGGAGTGCACCAATAATTTCCATTAAAGTTTTGATTTGTGTTTTCTTAACAAAGTCAAAAACAAAAAATCCCTTTTCACCTAAATTTTATTTAGATATTGATATTTGTCAATGAAGCCTTTCAAAAATTAAGAGGATAAATTTTTTAAAACTATGTTATTTCATTTAAATATCACAAAAAATACGATATAAATTTAATTTTGGTTTAAAGATAGGTTATTTTAATATTTGTAATAAAAATTTATTCAAATGACATAATTTTAATTTTTTTCCTCATTTTTCAAAGGTATAGTTGATAAAAATCCATTAAATAATGCAAATGATTAATCGATAGTGAATAACGAATAATGGGTAAAAATTTTATTGTTTTAAATAAGGGTAAACAAAACTTTTAATTATTCCATTTGATTAATAATTTTTTTAATTAAGTTAATATATCTTTTATGATAAATTAATATAAAATTTAAAAATATAATAATCAATTAATTTTAATTTTAAGTAATGGAAAAAATTTAAAACCAATTAAAAAATTAATAATTATGGAGGTTAATGAAAAAGATTTATAATTAAAATAGATTACTTTATTAACAAAATTAAGAATTTTGTAAAAACAAACAAAAACCTACCTTGAGTTTATCACCATAAAA